TGATATTTGGTGGGGTTTTTTGTGTATTTTTTTTTTGGAGGGGGCAGTCTTACTCTGTTGCCTGGGCTAGAGTGCCATGGCATCAGCCTAGCTCACAGCAACCTCAAACTCTTGGGCTCAAGCAATCCTCCTGCCTCAGCCTCCCAAGTAGTTGGGACTACATGCATGTGCCACCATGCCCAGCTAATTTTTTCTACATATTTTTAGTTGTCCAGCTAATTTCTTTCTATTTTTAGTAGAGTCTTGCTCTTGTTCAGGCTGGTCTTGAACTCCTGACCTCAAGCTGTCCTCCTGCCTTGGCCTCCCAGAGTGCTAGGATTACTGGCTGGTGTTTTCTATTTTAAGTTAAAATTTTGTTTTATATTTTTTCTTTAACTCATTGTGTAAGGGAGAATTTTTAAACTTCCAGGTGAAAGAACCTTTTTTGATATTAACTGCTCGTATTATTTCTATGTTGATAGCCTTACTGATATTATTGTTTATTATTTAGATGTTAGGAGTGTTTTTCTTTCTTTCTTTTTTTTTTTTTAAAGTAAGGAAAATGGTTTGATGGTAGGGGATTGGTAATTCCTCTGGGCCAAAAACCCAATACCCTAGACTATGAAACTTTTCTATTAGAGGGACTTGAATGTTCTAATGAATCTTGAGGGATAAATGGTTTTGGTTAGAACTGATCACACTTCATATTCCTGATAACTTTTACACCACAATCCATTTTGTAAATTAGAGGCTGGTTTTCCTGCAAACTTGAAATCATGGTAGTTCTTTATCAAGTCTTAAGGCAAAAATTGACTATCTGATCTGTCTTTGGATTGTCTAGTCCCTGTGTTTGAGGAACCATGGGCAGGTACTAAATTGACTTTGGGTATAAAGAAGTGGGTAACAGAACATTTCTAATGGGGAGAAAGCAGGAAGGGAATCCTGAAGAGAATTAAGCATGGGAAAGTAAACTTGGGTTGTCCATGTGTGCTTAAACAGGACCACAAGTAGAATTTTTAATGGAAAAAATGTTTACACGTATTATTACCTGAATATCCAAGGAATCCATTTTAAATCTAAAACCATTGGCTGGATGTGGTGGCTCACACCTATTAATTCCAGCACTTTGGGAGGCTGAGGTGGGAGGATTGGTTGATACCAGCCTGGGCAACATAGCAAGATCCTGTCTCTGGGGGGAAAAAAAGAGAAATTAAAAAACTAGCTGGGTATGGTGGCACATGCCTATAGTCCCAGCTACTTGGGAGGCTGAGGTTGGAGAATTGTTTAAGCCCAGGAGGTTAAGTCTCAGTGAGCTGTGATCTTGCCACTGTACTCCAGCATGGGTAACAGTCGAGACCCTATCTCCAAAATAACAAATAAGTGTACACATAGACACACACAAACCCAATTATGTCAATTTGTCCTTTTTTGATATTATGTGAAAATCTGTTTGAATATTTTTATTGGAATGTGTATTGATATTGATTGAAGAAATTTTAATGTGTTAAATGGTTAGAATTTCAAAGAAGATATTTCAAAGTTTGTAATTGATGGCTGACTTTTTAAAAACATTTTGGAATGTGTAATAGTTAAAAGTTCATATATACTTGAATTCATATTTGTCTTGTAATTAACAAAGTGACTAGCCCCCTCTTAATCTGTTTTCCTCATCTATAAAATGCAGATGATTCTATTGCCTGGGGAATTTTTATGAGCATTCCGTGAGATACTGGCTACAAACTCTTAGTGTGTTTCGCTAGTTTGTTAGATTCTTCCACTGTTGTTGCTGTTATCACTGTTATGCTATGTGCTAATATTGACAGTTTTTATTTTGTGAGGTACTCCTTGATATCTGTGATAGACACATGAAATAATTTATATAATCCCAACTCTAAATATATTCAGTAAGAATTTATTCTTAACAAGAATAAAGCAACAAGGTTGCTTAACAAGTTCTAGTCAGAGTAGTTAAGATCAGTACCTTAAGCAGAAGTTAATGTATAAAACTGACATTTTATACTGATCTATGATCATTTATTTTTATCACAACAAGCTTAAAGTTTTTTTTGTGTGTTTTTTTTTGTTTGTTTGTTTGTTTTTTGAGACAGAGTCTCGCTTTCTTGCCTAGGCTAGAGTGAGTGCCGTGGCATCAGCCTAGCTCACAGCAACCTCAAACTCCTGGGCTCAAGCGATCCTCCTGCCTCAGCCTCCCGAGTAGCTGGGACTACAGGCACGAGCCACCATGCCCGGCTAATTTTTTATATATATATTAGTTGGCCAATTAATTTCTCTCTATTTTTATGGTAGAGACGGGGTCTCACTCAGGCTGGTTTTGAACTCCTGACCTTGAGCAATCCGCCCGCCTCGGCCTCCCAGAGTGCTAGGATTACAGGCATGAGCCACCGCGCGCCGGCCAAGCTTAAAGTTTTTAAGATAATTGGTATATGCTCATGTTAATGATTCAAAGACATTATAAAGATGTGAAGTTATTTTCTTTATTCATGTAGTAAAAAGGAGTACTGAATGAGGTACTTAGGCAAATTATTCTCTTTGTTCCTCTGTTTTCTAATTTGGAAATAGGTGATTGTTAAGGTTTTTTGCAACTCTATTTTTTCTTTTTTTTTTTTTTTTGAGACAGGATTTCACTTGCCCAGGCTGGAGTGTGGTGGTGTGATCATAGCTCATTGCAGCCTTGAACTCCTGGGCTCTAGTGGTCTTCCTGCTTCAGCCACCAGAGTAGCTGGGACTACAGGCATGTGCCACCATGCCCAGCTAATTGTTTTTTTTTTGTAGGGACAGAGTCTTGCTATTTTGCACAGGCTGGTCTGGAACTCCTGGGCTCAAGTGATCCTCCTGCCTTGGCCTCCCAAAATGCTGGGATTCCAGGCATGAGCCAACACACTCAGCCTCTATAATTCTTTGATTCCACAGGTCTGTATTTGAGGTGTCACTATTTTGGTGAAATATTACAAGATTCTAAGAGGCTACTCAGTATATTTTAGCCATTTTTTAGAACTGCCAATTTACTCTCATATATAGGTATAGAGAACAGCTGAACTTGTTGTATAATTTATAAATCTTTTACCTTTGTTTGAAAATGTTTAGGTAAGATTTCTCCTCCAAATTTTATAGGTTGCTTTTGATATTTAAAAAATAAGTGCCCTCCATATCCATGTTCTCTCTGTTTTGTAAAATTTAAAACGTGTCTTGCCTTAATTTCCTAGTAATTTTTCTCATCAGGGAATTTTATATAATCTCTCTCCCCTTATTACATTTAGTTTGAAATATATTTTAATAACTTTTGGATACTAAAAGCCTATTTGAAAAGATCATGTTTAATATTCTGGAATCTAAAACAGGCAAGACATTTCTAGAAGAGGGAATTCTTTATATGACTATTCTCTCCTAAGAATTGAAGTTTGAAATTCTTCTGAAGGAAATCTAGTCATAAAAATAGTTCCTCTTCAAGTTTTAGGTAAATACAATGTGAAATTATGAATGACACCTTTCAATTTTTTGAAGTAACTTGAGACTATTAGTATGTTAATTTCACAGTTGTTCTTGTTTCTATTGTATAATCTGGCTTAATGAGCATCTAGCTAATTAACAGATACTTTCTAGTTCAGGGCCAGCAGAGGCCGCTCTCTGCATTTGTACACGAGCACGTGTGTGTACTTTCTCAGGAGTGTTTGTGTGTACACGGATACATGCATCTGTGCCTGTGTATTTCACTCAGAGGGGACAAGATCAGTCTATATATATAGAATATACTAGAGGAGGCATCCAAACAAAAACAAATTTTACCAAATATGTGTAGCTAAGTCTGTGTTGACTAGGTGATGAAGATCTTGTTTTTTATTAATAGACTGATGTGATTCCTTGCTGCTGATGTGACCTTAAGCTTCTATATATGCTCAGTCTTGGTATTAGGGATCTTCAGCTGGTCAAAATGTAATCCACTGCCAGATTAATCATATCGTATTAGGCTCTTGTTCTGGAAGAAACTAGCTCACACACTTGACAAAATTTGAACTTTGATGTCTACTTTAAAAACATAACTTTGTCCTCTTTTTTCCTTTCTTCCCATAATCAATCTGTCTTTATATCCTCTTTACATTCTGTTCAACTTAAGTATGGCTTTTTACAAATATTTTTTAAAAATGCTTTGTGAATATGCCACTTGTTTTTATCCAAATTAAAATGATTTTCATCGTGTGTAATTCTGAATTAGCATTTCTAGCATTTGTCCTTGTATAATAACACAAGGAAGCAAGCTTTCACAAATTATTCTCTCAAGTTCACACTGGTATGTGTTCACCCTGCTTTCATGTATCAGTGTATCATCATTTGAATCTTTGCTATCACATTATTTGGGAGTCTGAAGTGTCAAACAATGTTATCTTTCTAAAACCTGTTATGTCTGACCGTTTTGTTTTCCTGTGGAAAGGCACTGATGTGTAAGCTCTCAGTACGTTCTTGAATTGGGTGTAATTTGGGGGATTTGAATATTAGTAATCTGGTGCTCTCCTCTTTATCTTTAAAAATGAGTTTTAACTAGTAACATGGTATCTCTTTCTTCTCCCTACTTAACAAGTTGATGACCTTTTTTAAGAAATCAAGAAATATAGATGTCAGAATCCTTTCGATTAAAAATAGGAAATCTGATTTCATTGTAGAGGGAATATCAACTGCTTATATAGTGATATTAAAGACTCAATTTAAATAAATGTTTATTTAATCATAGTTTATAGTTTGTGTGTCAATTATACTTGCAAGGAGAAAATAAAAAATCGCTAATCATTCCAGAATTTACTGTTTTTCCTTCCTGCTTGGGGTTAGAGGAGGAGGAGTGGAGAATACATTTTGATAGTTCAGTAAGAGCTTGAAAGAAGTTGTATAAAGTAATGTAAACTATTTATTAGCAAGATTGTAATCTATTAATTGACTTTTCCAGTGGAATCAGGAAAGTGAAAAAATAAATATTTTACAGTTATATTTGGATTCTTTGTTTTATTTTGCAGCTTTTCATGCAACACCTAACACTTATAAGCGGAAGAACACAGAAACAGCTCTAGACAACAAACCTTGTGGACCACAGTGTTACCAACATTTGGTAAGATTTAGTGCTTTATTGTTCCAGAGGGTATTTGAGAAGTCTTAATCGTGCACTTTGCCTGGTTAGTACTTGGATGGGAGACCACCTGGGAATACCAGGTGCTGTAGGCTTTTCAATTGTAGGCTGTCATGACCCCCCAAAAAAACACGTTTTTTTTTTTACACTTTGGTAGAGCTGATGCAGTCAGCATTAACCTGTCTACACCTATGCCTTTATGGGCCATATAATAGGTAGAGTTTTCTTACCCATGTTGTTTCTTCCATTAGCTCATATGCTGCACATTTTAGTCCTTCATTAATCTTGTATTATTATTTTTCTTTTTTCATCTGTGTTATCTCTTCAGCAACATTTCAAGGTCTTTAGGATCAAGGACTTTTATACATTCCACTAAGTTTGTGAGAGTGTGAAACAGAGATAGCCCACTTAGAAACCAGAAACTTGGTAATCATATGCAGTAGCTCCTAAGCCTTTCTCATAGCCATGTCCCCTGTAGCAGTTTTAGACCCACTGTCATTTTAGCTATATTTATAGGTCCCACAGATTTTTTTTTTAATGATGGAGAAAAGGTAAGGGGTTAGGAAAATATGAGGTAGAAAAGTTGTTTTTTTACGGGTACTATCTTATTTTTACCATTTCCCCTCTTTGAACCAAGCCACTCCTACCTAGGAACTAAATGGGTATATATTCCCTGTTGGATTTTGGACAGAAGATTCATTGAATGGCACCTGCAGAAGGTATCCTATTTTTAAGCAATTTGGTTTTTGTAGAATGAAGTATAAAACTGTTGGCTGCTCTCAAACTTCTCCCTTCTATTTCCACTAAAAAATGGAATTCTTAAGTACTGTTTTATAATATTCTTTACAAGGCAGAATTTTATTTGGCTCATCTAAAATGTTTCTGTGGTCTTTCTATAAACCATGCTCTTACCATTGTTTTATACTTTCTGAGATTGGATTATTATACTTCATAATGCAAAATGTAACTCTTACAGTCTTGTTCTGGAAGTCCTGTGGCTATGTATCCCTCACAGGAAAAAAAACCCTGAATGTTTTAATAGTAAGACAGGAAGTGACAAAGTCACTTGCTTAAGTGTATGTGTTTTATATTTTTCTTATATGCTTTAAATATTACCATGAAGAGGTATGCATTATCTTAAACCTTGAATAGGAAGTCTAACTCAATGTATATTAGGTATATAATTCTTCTTAAGATTCGCTTTTAAGTAGATCGTATGTATATATAGAATTACCTTTATTATATAAAGTATACTTTATATCTTATTATATTTTAACTTAATTATAATCAGTTAACATGTTTGACAAATTCATTATGTAGAACTGTCTTTCCTGATTTTGTACCACTCTAGGAATATATAGAATTCATGTTTATGTTTCTGAAATTTTCAAACTGTCAAAAGCAGATTGAAAACAAGTGTATTTAGGTATGCAAATGATTTGTGATGAATGGTTGGTTACTGTGATAAATTTCTTGACTAACTTGCCTTATGCAGTCCTTTCTTCCACCAAAATGAGTCTTAGAACTTAGTCCTAATGTCTACATTTTTCATTTTGTAGGAGGGAGCAAAGGAGTTTGCTGCTGCCCTCACTGCTGAGCGGATAAAGACCCCACCAAAACGCCCAGGAGGCCGCAGAAGAGGCCGGCTTCCCAATAACAGCAGCAGACCCAGCACCCCCACCATTAATGTGCTGGAATCCAAGGACACAGACAGCGATAGGGAAGCAGGCACTGAAACAGGGGGCGAGAACAACGATAAAGAAGAAGAGGAGAAAAAAGACGAAACCTCGAGCTCCTCTGGTAAGACACATATAATAACTGAGTCCTACTATTGCTCTGAAAGTTTCATATTGTGAAGATTAAGGATGTGCAATACATCGAATAATTTTCTCAGTTGGTTAGTTTTCAGTATAATGAGAAATCTTAAGATCAGAGAGTTCGCTCAGGATGTGTAGCTAAATTGTTACTGATGTTTTTGCCCCACCCCGGGCCTAGCTTGTGATGTTTGCCCTTCTGGACGACTGGAAGTTGATGATCCAGTTTATTCTCACTCTTTGTCCCATTTTCCATCTTTCTCAGATAGGGCATAGTGAAATTCAGATCATTTGGGTTAATATTCTTGATTTTCTATGAGCAGTTTTGGTTAGAAAATGATTGGTATTTACTGATTGGATTTTATTTGTCCTTTTAGCCCTGTGAATTATACACATGAATAATTAATCACAGGCTAAGCCCATCTGCATTCATTTTAGAAAGTGTATTAAAGGGAGCCAATCTCATGGTTTCCATGGGGGAAGAATCTTATTGATATTGTTTCTAGCCTTATTCTAAAATGAGTAACACCTTTTGCTTTTTTCTTAAGCATACCCTAAAGTTTCTTCCCTTTTTAAGTAATTAACTAATTTTTAAAATTGATACATAATGTACATATATTCTCAGTCCATGTGATAACTTTATACATTTACATAATCAAATCGGGTAATTGGCATATCCATCACCCTAAATCTTAATACTGTTGCTAAGAGCATTTGTTGACCTGTGCTTACATTTGGTTTTGTAGAAGCAAATTCTCGGTGTCAAACACCAATAAAGATGAAGCCAAATATTGAGCCTCCTGAGAATGTGGAGTGGAGTGGTGCTGAAGCTTCGATGTTTAGAGTCCTCATCGGCACTTACTATGACAATTTCTGTGCCATTGCTAGGCTGATTGGGACCAAAACATGTAGACAGGTAAGCATATCTAATAAAAATATTGTTAAAAGGGCTTCAAATATAAGGATCCATCGTCCACACTTAAGACTGTTCTTGGTTATTATTAAGTTCCTATTCATCTCCTGAAAAGAATTAAATTTTCTTTTTCCTAAGAGGGAACTGAAAGATCATTCTTCAATGTGTTATAGAATTTCCCCACTTTAGGTAGCAATAGATTTAAAAAGCTATAAGAATTTAAACTTAGTATCACAACTCTTAACCAGAATAAAATTATAGCTACTCTCCCCAACGTGAGGGTAGGGACAATGGTTTCTACTGTGTTCCCAGCACCTAGCAGTGTCACAGAAGTCACAGAAGAGACAAATCTTTCTGGTATCAATGAGTATAAGAATGGTTTGCTTAAATAAGACTTCCTCTTGTCAGGTGTATGAGTTTAGAGTGAAAGAGTCTAGCATCATCGCTCCAGCTCCTGCTGAGGATGTTGATACTCCTCCACGAAAGAAGAAAAGGAAACACCGGTAAGTCTGCTGTAAAGATGTTTAGAGAAATCACCATAGCTGGATGCTACACACAGGACCCTCCCTAAGGGCAGTGGTCAGTTACCACTTGGTCTATTAAAAAAAAACAACAAAAAAAAAACCTGTCATCAAAAATAGACCTGTGGAATCTGGCAATTGCTATTGTAAGAATACAGGAGACTTCAGTAAATTTGGTATTTCAAGGGTTATAAAAATTATGTTTACCATACTGCATTTTGGTTAAGAAAAACATATTTGCTAGCTTTTGCTGTAAAGGCTATTATAAACAATTACTTTAGCGTTTGTTATGAAATGTTCTAATGTGTTCCTGATTTGAGCTCTGGGTCAGTTCTTAGAAGTGTATGTTTTATTCTAGGAGCCTGAATTTTCTACATGTTGCATTGCATTCTGATGTTCTTATCAGTCACCCTGCTTTAATTGTGTGTGACTGTTACCTTCACAAAGGCTTCTGAATGAGTGATTAAGTGTAATAAATGTTTTCAAGCCAATCTGATTTGTAAATGTAGAGCCAGAAATTCAGGAATGGACTATCTGCTTTAATCTCCCCCACCCCTGCCCACCCTGGGAGCAATTAAGATTATGCTTAAAAAGTTGTGTACAGGCAGGCTTATGTTATATTTTGTTACATTTAAAAAATAAATATAGGGTCACTGTAATTTGGAACTTAAAGAAATTAGTTTTCCCATAGGAATTTAGGCTTTAGTAGATGCTTCTGAATTTTTGGTTGAATTATTTCTGACAGTGTAGCTCAATTGGACAGTAAATGATGCCTGAAATGAAAGTACCAGTATAATTCACATCAGAATAATCAATAGGGAGACATACCTGCCGCTCCTGTACGTGTGGGTGCTCATGAGTCCTGACCAGGAGCCGTGGAGGAGCAGGAAGTGACAACACCTCCAGGCTTTTTGGCACACCTGGGGCAGGCTGAGTGATTGAGCTATTTCTAGGTAGCTCCAAATGGATGGCAAATGTAAGCTGTGTGGTGTGTGATTCTTGGCTTTAAAGCATTGCTACATTAATCACACAGGTAGATCTAGTTAAGTACCTCTCTGTTGGACTTGTAGCTGTGACTATACTCCACTTTCCCACAGAAGTTTGTCTTTTATTTTGTGTTTCTGCAGGTTGTGGGCTGCACACTGTAGAAAGATACAACTGAAAAAGGGTTCGTATCTCCATTAAACTTCATTATCAACTTTGAAATGTCTACTTTGTTCTCATTTGTTTTAGAATAGTAATTGGATTAGAGTTTGGGTTATTCTGATATCATTGACTTATGTATATTAAACCAATATAAATGGAAGGTGTCTAATGAATCTTCAGTTCTAGTGGAAGCTGACTGGATGGGGGAGTCGGTTAAGGGAGAAGTAATGTTGGATGGGGCTGAGACATGGAGGTAGTGCTCACAAGCATTTGGGGGTGGGGTTATTTTTGCCATTATTTTGTACACAGGAATATTTGTAACATTGTAAATTCAGTAAAGGAAACCCAGCTAAGCTCCAGAAGTTGTAGGGAAGAATGTACTCTTGTAAACTGTGTATGATCATGTCCCATCTCCCTGGATTCATGGGCCTGCTGTGCTGTTATCTTTACACAGACGGTTCCTCTAACCATGTTTACAACTATCAACCCTGTGATCATCCACGGCAGCCTTGTGACAGTTCGTGCCCTTGTGTGATAGCACAAAATTTTTGTGAGAAGTTTTGTCAATGTAGTTCAGAGTGTAAGTATTTGTTGCTTTGATGCAATTGCATGAGAACTACATAGGTATTTGGTCAGCAATTTAAAATAGTAACTTAAATCAAAATATAATATGGGAGTGCTCCCTTGTTTACATTAGGAAATCCATTTATCCTACAAGTATTTATCCAGCCCATAACTGGCACCTGCTAGTGTCCTGCCAGTCTCCTAGATAATGTGTGTGTAAGATAGGCAAGATAGGATTAAAGGAACTCTCTTATTCTTTTATCATTTAGATTAAATCATAGTAAAGTTGGCACAGATTATAAGAGGGACCTGGAAGTAGCCACCTAAATAATTTTTGGGCACCAGAAATTGTCAGAGTTAGGATGGTTTCAATCTTCAGAATAAAACAATTAGGGTAGGATTTTTATAATTATTTAATGAAGCTGCACATAAAGCTTGGACACTAAAGAAGTGTTTAGACCTGTGGGCTATTAGAATGCCCAAGGACCATGGATGACTATTATCCAAAGCCTCCCTTAATACCTACTTTATAAATCATAAAACTTTAAATAAATATACCATTTAATAAATTAAAAGTTACTAGGCAAACAAAACAAAACAAAAAAACCCAAAAACTCAATGGTGATCTTTTTTCAGTATTAGCAGCTTTAACTTTGCTGTTACTTCCTTGTCTGTACAATGGCACAATACGGTGTATGTGAAGGTCAAGGAGGTCAGTCAGATGCTCAGGACTTGCCATGAACCTTTCTGCACATTTTTGCATATGATGATGATTGTGATGGCGGTAAGGTTTAACATCTCTCTGAAGGTCAAAACCGCTTTCCTGGGTGCCGCTGCAAAGCACAGTGCAACACCAAGCAGTGCCCGTGCTATCTGGCTGTCCGAGAGTGTGACCCAGACCTCTGTCTAACTTGTGGAGCTGCTGACCATTGGGACAGTAAAAACGTGTCCTGTAAGAACTGCAGTATTCAGCGGGGCTCCAAAAAGGTGAGTGACAGCTGCTTCTGGGAAATTGTTTGGCTATACCATGCTGTAAATGTCAGGATAGCCTTTAGTAACAGTGATTGTTGAATGGTGCAGCTGAGGAGAGAGAAAATGGTTGATTTCCTTCTGCTTTGGGTAGTCTCTTCAGATTTCTATAGAACACCTTACTCTGATGATAAGAAAAACCAGTAAATTCTGAGAAGTAGCCTTTAATGGTGTTAGCTTTTGAATCAGAGGTATTTTTCTAGTTGTTTAATAGATGATTTGAATTGTTTAAATTAGTAGAACTAATAGTTTAGTCTCCTTGATACAGATAAATAGTGATTTCTATCAAAATATAGAGATCTTTTCTTATCAAATAGTATTTTTAGATTCCTTTCTGTGTAGAGGAAAAGATGAAATTTCCCATGGCAAATTTTTGTAGATTTAGTTCACATTTCTTTAATAACCTTGAAAACAACTCAGCTAGGAATTATATATTTGAAGTCTGGGAATTGTATGTAGGTGATTTGGGGAGGTCAAACTGTTACAGTCTGAACGGGAGGGGACCACACTACCACCAGTTATTTTTTCTGTAAGACAGAGAAATACAGTTGGCCAGCCATACTGCTCAGCTTTCACACTGACTAAGTCTACGTAGACTGTGTGAATTACTGCTTTCGAACAGGTTTGAGGATTTAGAGCAATAACTAAGACTGCACTCTGTCAACAGTCTGGCTTTGCTTTCCTGTTTTGATAATTTGATTATGCTTTATTCCCTAGCATTTATTGCTGGCACCATCTGATGTGGCAGGCTGGGGGATTTTTATCAAAGATCCCGTACAGAAAAATGAATTCATCTCAGAATACTGTGGAGAGGTAAGGCACACTCATCACCATACTCGGGGTATTGTGTATAATCACTTTTGTTTTGCTTTGGTTTCACTGGGCAAGTCCCTGGGTTCGATTGGAAATGAATTACTATAAAATGCCTTTTAGTCTGGGCTGGTGGATTTGGTTTGGTTGTAGTCACAGTTAGCTTTTCTCATGTGAGGACAATGGGGAGAAAAGACCTCCACCACAGAGGATCTGTCCTGCGTAATCCACTGCCTGGCTAAGAAGGACCTAGAAAGGACAGTGTCACTAGTCAGAGAAAAATCATAGGACTACCTTGAATTTGGAACCCACCCAACCCAGTTTGTGCTTGGAGATGTGGAAATAGTTCTGAGTTGGAGTCCTTAAAATACCGTTGTTCTTCAATGCGCGTGGACTAAATGGAAAAGAGAAATTGGCCATAGTGACCTTGGATGAGTAGTCTGAAAAGTTCCCAAATTCTCTTGAGCTTTTTTGTGTGTTCTGCCATACTTGACCACCTTACACCAGATTAGTATGGCATTAGTATTGCCATACTAATCTTCTCCTGTGTCTTTCCTTTTAGATTATTTCTCAAGATGAAGCCGACAGAAGAGGGAAAGTGTATGATAAATATATGTGCAGCTTTTTGTTCAACTTGAACAATGGTATGTTTCTGTGCTAGAAGGTATTTAGTTCTTTTGAGTTACATTTGGCAGCCTTCTGCTGGCTGAGGGTTTGGAAATGAGGTCGATGAGGTGACTTCCACAGGAAGAACTCCTGGTGTTTCTCATCACATGGCATGGGGGTGGGCTACTTGTTTGAGAGAGGTGGGAGCAGGTGGACTAGGTGTGCAGGAAGTGATCCCTCTGCAGTCCCAGCCCTCTGCCAGTGGGCCTGCACCAGACTCTGGCTAGGATGGGGACATTCTTCATGTTCTCTGCTGTGCTCACCTTTGGGGTATTGAGTAAGCCAGTCATTGCCTCTGACAGGGAAGGATGGGGAACACTGTATTTGAAAGCATCTTCTAGACTTTGCCTGGATATTATCAAAGGACTGTCGGAATAAGGCACCATTTTTCACAGCTGATGTTCTTGGGTAGAATATAAGGCCTTAGTGAGTATCTCTGATGGGGTTATGCTGGGAAGAGTTTAGATTCCATATTTTTGCCATGTTTTACCAGTAGTGTATATATATATTTATAGTTGGTGAGTCATAGCATTTGAGGCAGACAACTATCTTGAATTACCAAGTATTAATTTTAATCTACAACAGCATTTTCTTCCAAATGTTGTCATTTCTTAATGAAGTTGGTTGAATGATTTATTTGCTTTTGAAGGCAAACCCTGAAGTACTATAATTAGTTGTATTTCTAGACTCATAATACCATTGTGTTTATTGATCTGTAACTGAAATTACTCACTAGATTGTACTTATTTTTTTCTTTAGATTTTGTGGTGGATGCAACCCGCAAGGGTAACAAAATCCGTTTTGCAAATCATTCAGTAAATCCAAACTGCTATGCAAAAGGTAGGTACTTACGAAGTCAGAATTACCACAGTCTGAGAACAGGGACGCCATTTTCAATCTCGTGGCAACAGACTCGAATGCTTCTAAGAGAGTTGTTCATTATTCATGTTACTGCTTACTCATACCAAGGTGTCTTGTGCATCTCTCTTTCCAGTTATGATGGTTAATGGCGATCACAGGATAGGTATTTTTGCTAAGAGAGCCATCCAGACTGGCGAAGAGCTGTTTTTTGATTACAGGTTGGTACAGTACATTTCTAACATGATCTAAGGACTGTGCACTGTGGACAAAGGCTCTTTTTTAGTTTCTTGCTAGATCTGCTGGTGGCAGGGGGGTGCTGGGCTCTTTCGGTTGTTATTTGCCATGGGCAGGGAGTTAGGTTATGCTTTCCTGCTATATTATTTATTATCCAAGTAATACTTATTTTTAAAACATAATAAAATCCACATAGAAAGCCCATTTCTGACCCTGCTGTTTGGAGTCCTAGACCTTTACATTCACATTGTACTGCACACAGGCTTGTGGCGCATTTTTTAAAGTAAATGTGGGCCGGGCACGGTGGCTCACGCCTGTAATCCTAGCACTGTGGGAGGCCGAGGCGGGTGGCTCACTCAAGGTCAGGAGTTTGAAACCAGCCTGAGCAAGACCCCATCTCTACTAAAAATGGAAACAAATTAATTGGCCAACTAAAAATACATAGAAAAAATTAGCCGGGCATGGTGGCGCATGCCTACAGTTCTAGCTACGTGGGAGGCCGAGGCAGCAGGATTGTTTGAGCCCTAGAATTAGAGGTTGCTGTGAACTAGGCGGACGCCACGGCGCTCTAGCCAGTGCAACAGAGTGAGACTCTGTCTAAAAATAAATAAAGTAAATGTGAGCACACTAATACAGATTGTTCTGCTACATATTTGACAATATGTATATCTATGTATATCTTTACTGTTACTACAATTAGATCTACTTTTTTTTTTAATCACTAGAGTACTTATTATACACATCATTTAATATTTTAAAAGTCAGGCACTGTTAGCAGATAACTGCCTGGTCACCCTGTGGGCTCTTTCTGGGAGAAAAACTGTTGGGGTGCTGGGGACACATGGGCTTATTGAATTAGGCTGGCGGTTTACACTGTCAAGCTCTGTAGGATAAATTTGACAAGTCACATGCAATCAGTCTGGGTGTGGTGGCACATGCCTGTAGTCCCAGCTATGCAGGAGGATCACCTGAGCCCAAGAACTTGATGCCACTGCACTCCAGCCCAGGAGACAGAGTAAGATCCTGTGTCAAATGCCATCAGAATGACTATTGTTAAAGAAATCCTGTGGCTAAATATACATCCCATCCAGAAGCTGGTTTTGAGCACCGAGTTGCTGCACTGCAGGGCCTGTCTTTAACACAGACAGGCCCTGTCAGCTGTGCAGCTGAAGGACAGTTCTCAAGGGTGCCGGATGGGGTCTGAGAAAGGGCCTGCTGTGGCAGAGTCCACTGCCAGGGGCTCCGTTCCAGGCTCGCTGGGCCCCTGTTTACTAGGGCTCCAGATCATGTTCTCTGTAATCTGCCTTCCTGGGGGTAGTTTGCTTGTGAGGCACAGGGCAGAAAGCTATGGGAATGCTTGTAGGGACAGGTTTGTCTGGCAAGTTCTCAGCTAGAAGATTACCCATAACACAGATGTGTGCAGTGCCTTTGTGCATGCAGCTGTGTGATTGGGCGTGTATGGTTTCGTCTGAGATACTGTGATGCACCCACCTAAATCGGGAGGCTTGGCTGTGTTAAATCTCCCTGCATGTTGGATAAGTGGTCGTTCCTTTTCATGTTGTTTCAGATACAGCCAGGCTGATGCCCTGAAGTATGTCGGCATTGAAAGAGAAATGGAAATCCCTTGACATCTGCTACCTCCTCCCCTCCTCTCTGAAACAGCTGCCTTAGATTCAGGAACCTCGAGTACTGTGGGCAATTTAGGAAAAGAAAATGCAGTTTGAAATTCTGAATTTGCAAAGTACTGTAAGAATAATTTATAGTAATGAGTTTAAAAATCAACTTTTTATTGCCTTCTCACCAGCTGCAAAGTGTTTTTTGTACCAGTGAATTTTTGCAATAATGCAGTATGGTACATTTTTCAACTTTGAATAAAGAATACTTGAACTTCTCCTAGTTATTGAGTCATCTTTCATAAAACTTAACTGGTTTTAGAAAAGGACAGGAGACCTGGCGTGGTGGCTCACGCCTGTAATCCTAGCACTCTGGGAGGCCGAGGTGGGCAGATTGCTCAAGGTCAGGAGTTCGAAACCAGCAAGAGCGAGACCCCGTCTCTACTAAAAATGGAAAGAAATTAATTGGACAACTAAAAATATATAGAAAAAAACTTTGAGGCACATGCCTGTAGTCCCAGCTACTTGGGAGGCTGAGGCAGGAGGATCACTTGAGCCCAGGAGTTGGAGGTTTCTGTAAGCTAGGCTGACACTATGGCACTCTAGCCTGGGCAACAGAGTGAGACTCTTGTCTCAAAAAAAAAAAAGAAAAGGACAGGAAAACAAACTCTGAAATTTAACTCCGTTTTGTCTTTGTATGAATCTTGATTTAAGTAATACTGCCTATTAGTATTAATTTGTGTAGTTATAATCATATAAATATTTGTATATTAAATACAAAATTTACCTAATAAGTAGAAGATATCCTTATGTGACTAACACTACCACACAAGCCCTTTACCAAGTAAAGGGCTTGATCTTGCAGACAAGGGTTGGGGTATGTTACAATTAGCTGTGTGACCTTGGAAAAAGTAGTTTAACCTTGAAGTCTCTGTTCTCCATACATAAAATGACAGCGTGAACTAGGTTATATCTAGCTCTTAACTGCATTAGTCTAGATGTAGTTCTTCAGCAATACAACAGTGTGAATTGGGATTCCTTACTTACCTGCAGACGCTCACAGGTACAACCATACTGGAGTTTTATATCTTCTCAAGGGGTTAAAGAAAAAAACCCTGACAAGATATTGGGGAAATGCGGTGCTTGCACATTGTACTCTTCATGACAACGTGCAGTCTGTCTCAGTGGTAACTTTCCAGCACCCTCCCAGGTACCCCTGCAACAGCTATAAATCAGTCCACAATGTGTAGTTACTTGGTAGTTACCTTTTCTACAGTTAATTAAAACTATCACTTATAAGTTTATCTAAGTTTCACATTAAATAACTAACTCACCTTGCTTTCCAATTCCATTAACTTTTATAAGACTTTCTCTGGTTTCTATCATATCAGTGCAACTTGTTCTAAAGTTAATTTGCCACTTAATTTTGGCAATGAGGAGACCTTGCCCTAGACTCTACTTCATGTGTTGTTCTTGTAGTCCAATCCACAGTTTAGTGACAGTGCTGTTATAATTTATGTCTCTCAATAACTGTCCCCACTCTCCATACACTTAGCACTTTGTTGTTGACTGGTTCAAGTAGAATAAGAACTCCAGGGCTTGCCCTTGATTACCTTGTGTCCACTTTGGCACTCAGCATGGCCCTGGGCAGAGTGGCAGCCACTGAAGAGTACTTTGATTGTTCGGGTCATTTCTCCTTTCGGTAGCCTAATGTCCTTGTTTAGATATAGGCACATAGAGCCCGTTCATTATCGCCTGTGGGCCTGTTCAGGAAACCCCAAGGGTTACACAGGCCAGTATTGTCTGGGGACATGGCTCATTCCAGCCACAGCTCCTACGCCTTCCCCAGAGGTGAACAGCTGGGAGGTGGGTCCTTAAGTCCAGTGAGCTGCTCAATACGCCAGCGCCCAGCTGCATCAGGAAGACAAAGTACAAGGTGCGCTGACAGAAAGCAGTGATGCTGAGCACCGGCTGCTATGTTCTTAATGCACAGCACACTTTCTTCCATGACTTGAAATGTACTTTTCTAAATGTCCTCTTGGATCACTGCCATGAACACTTAAGATTTTTCTGACCAGAAATACTTGACATATACCTATTTGATATATCCTATACGATAAAGGTCATCTTTAAATCAGATCTGGTCAGCTTTAGTTTTTATTTTTTAGGAGGTTATTGCTCTTGTCACCCAGGCTGGAGTGCAGTGGCCTGATCATAGCTCACTGTATCCTCAAACTCCTGGGCTCCAGTGATCCTCCTGAGTAGCTAGGACTATACACACGTGCCACCTTGCCTAGCTAATTTTTAATTTTGTTGCAGAGACAGGGTCTTGCTATGTTGCCCAGGCTGATCTTGAACTCCTGACCTCAAGCAATCCTGCCTTGGCCTCCCAAAGTGCTGAGATTATAGGTGTGAGCGTTAGCCTTAGATTTAGCGGTGCCTTAGAGTTTTCTTTATTCACAGAATAAAAGAAAGCAGAGCTTGACATTGGCACACAGGTACCACCTCACCCACTAACTGATGCAGGCAAGGTTAAAAGCACCATAAAATAACATTGTTCTGCTTGTCAAGATTCTTTTTTTCATATATATATATATTTTTTATTTCAACTTTCATTAAAAACAAACCAAATCCAGTAACCTTTCCAATGCCTTACTAGAGGGTTGCCTCACAACTGAACCATCATTTCTGGAGGCGAAGATACTTTTCAATCAATCAATAATGTTTTATATAGTAAGTTATAAAAAAATCAATTATAATCACTTACCTGGAAGCTGCTCTTATTTTTCAATACCAGCTGCCTCATCCAGTCTCTTGCCTTTATTGTAGCCAGAGTCCTGACTTTCCACATCTGCCAAAGGTATTTAGCAACTGCTACCAAAAGTCAGTCGTATGTAACAGCTCATGTAATTTAAGCTTATAGATTGATCAAGACAAGGATCTGAATGTAAACATTGTGAAAGGATCCAAGTATTCTATGAAGTCAATGTTACTGGAATTAGTTGGAATGAATGCTTAGTCCCGCAGCCCTCTGTTAGAAACCGTTCCAGTGCGGGCTGTACCTGGATACCTGGTACTCACCTGTTGCGATGAAGCCACCGGTCTGCCACTCTACAGGTGCGCTAACTGGAAAGATGAGATAAGGTATAAAAAATGAACCCAAACGGCCAAGGTGCTGTGATTCCTAAAAAACAGGAAGCTGTCTTCATCAGAAGGGGATTTAATTCAAATATAAACAAAAGGAAGTATGTTTTCCGCCTGGGTGTGGTAAATTTAAATTTCTTTCAAAGGAAAATTAGGTACCAATGTTCAGCAAGGGGCAATTATCTCGAAATGCTCAGTCAGTAAAAAGATCTTAAATTCCAGGTACCTGCTGGTCCTGTAGCTATTGTTCCCTTAGCTGTTATGTGGGGATCTTGAATTCCTGTATTCTAGTGCTCCTGGCTGCTTTCTCACAAAGACAGTGACAGAGACTGGCTGGCAGTCTAGGTCCACACCAGGATCGTGTTTGACAACAGAGTCCAAACCAAGGGAATCTTCTACCCTTCTAGTTGTTGAGAGGAAGGTCCTATCTGACCTTGTCTCCTCCCTAGGTAAGAGGTGCTTCCCTCAGGCCACAGTCCCCAGTGGTACATACTCAGCCTGTTCATCTGCTCAGTGCAAAGCCCAGCTCTGATAAGACCACATCGAGTTTTTCTACAGCCCAGAGGGCAGAATATTGATTTTATAAAAGAGGCAGTTTAAAGTCATTGACAGATTAAAGGGTAAACTTTTGTTGCTGTGATACTTTGTTTCCAACCTTTCCAACCTCCTTGGCCATGATTCCAAGGTAAGCAATATTAAGAGTGGGTGACAGCAGACTGCAAACTCCCGCTGGAGAATTCAGCAGCAAGTATCACTGCCCAAGATGTGTGCTGGCTTTATAAAGAGGCTCCCCTATACTCTCAAAAATGGGTAAAGGCAAGAGTGATTGTCTGGGCACTTCTGAGATTGGATTAGTTTAGTAATACTTGGGCTTAGGTAAGTCTATGTAAAAGTACAGCTGGCAATAGTAACTCAACAAAAAGCCAAACTGCGTATCTTGTCTAAGGAGAAGTAGGAAGAGGGGTTGAGGATGGGAGGACTCCTGGGTTGTAACAGAGCTGCAGTCCTCAGGGCTCAGACTCCTGCAGCAGGGAGTTACTAAGCAGTCCCGAAAACTCACAGAATGTCCCTTTTCCCATTTCCTCCAAGAGACGTGCAGTTAATCTGCACGTGAGGGACGTTTGGGCCTAAATATGACTCAGTGAAACTCAATCTCTTGGCCTGCTTTTAGAAGCTCAGGACATGATACGGTTGGAGGAATAAAGGCGAGAAAGGTCTGGAGTTGCCTTCTCACACCCATCGACACAGTGGTTTATCTGCAGCGAAGGGGGCGGTACAAGGTAGTGACTTTGCAGATAGGGGGTGAACTGCCGACTGGCCTGTCCCTCGGTGTACCTGTGTGCCACTGTCAATTTCCACAGTCCCGAGTACTTACCTAAGGACATGCTTGCTCCTGGAGGAACTGAAGAGAGACCAGCAAAACCTTGTTAAAATAGTTCCTATCCACGGGACTCACACAGAGGGGTCTGAAAGAGGGCCCATGGTGTTTCTTTGTACATACTTTCCCAGGGGCAGAAAAACGCAAGCAGGAGCTGCACTCCCAGCGGGGCAGTTCTGCAGCCGTCCTGGTCCCTGGGGCCCTGAGGGTGGCGGGAAGCAGGGTCTGGGGAGGGACTCCGCCTGCTTTTCATGCTGGCAGTCTTCACTAAGTCATTTGAAAACGGGGATATACTAAAAAGGTGTGGGAGGCTATTAAGTAAACTTTTTAACCACTTCGGCACAGCGCTCACCGGCCGCGACCCCTCGCCCACAGCCGGCACGCAGTCCGCACGGGCACGGGGCGCGCGCTGCGCATTGGCGGCGAATGCCTTTTGCCCTGTGTGATGAGGAAAGCTTGAAAGCACTGAAAGCTTGTTTTACTTTACGGGCAGCTTTAGGAAAATAACCATAATAACTCCTACTAAGGACTAGTTAAAAGGTCACAGATTCGTAGTAACTTATTAGCTGAACGTACACACTGCAACTGCGGAGATGAAAGCAAAAGCTTTTGCCTGTCGACAAGTCGACGCTCGTACCTCAGTGGTCAACTCACCTGCTGAGCGCCAGATTGTGCCGCGAAACCCCAGCGCCACACCCAGCGCCGCTGCCGGCGTCCGCGACGCCTTCCTCCACTCTGCGGGAGCGTGGACCCCGGCG